ATATGTCAGATACAATAGTTGGGTACATTAAATGACTTTGGAGAATTAATAGACATTTAAAAACAAATACGAAACTTAAGGTGAGAGCTATGAAGTATAGAAAATTAGATGGTCAGTGGAGACACTGTGTTGAGAGGAACATAAGTGGGATATATAATGTGTCTATGGGAGTGGGTAATGTAATAATGGAATAACAGCATTTGAAAATAAAACCCTTAATAAATATCTACAAAATGCATAATACTATATATATATATATATATATATATATATATATATATATAGAGAGAGAGAGAGAGAGAGTATTATGCATATATATATATATATATATATATATATATATATATATATATATATATATATATATGAGAAACTAAACAAAATGGTGTAAATAATACTCCACACAATCCTTAGTTTTGGCAGAAATATCAATTAACCGCCCGAAATTAATATAACTCCTAGGAAGCGACAAAACGCATAAGAATCTTAGTCAACGACGTTAGAAATTGCTACAAACAGAACTGGCAAAGAACTGGCAAGGACAAAGAACTTTCCGCGCAGTGTACACAGGAGTTTATTTTAACAAATAAATATTTTCATAATTGTTGCGGTGTCCTCCCTCTAAAGAGTCCATGTTGGGCTCTTACGCCTATTATTATAGTAGTAGGACAGAAAGCCTTGGGGAAACAGCCTAATACATTGAACGCTGGGTCAACCAACCCACACTCACTAGCCGTGTAATTCTCTTCTGCTGTACTTACTGTTTAGTATAGGATATATCTGTAACACTTATGTAATTATTTCTTTAACCATTTACTTGGTCACAACAATAATCATGGGCTTTTTCATTTTTAATGTAGACCTTGAAATCGGTCATTACTTTTGCACCAACCTGATATAATTGTTTGGATTATTATCTCACTACATCAATTACGAGGAGGGAGTTTGATCTACACTGGAGGTACAATAATATCTGTTTTGTGCCACTTCAAAGCTTTGCTTAAAAAGTCATTTTGGGGTTCTTCGACGTGAGCTAATGCTTAGCAAACTAATCTCGCTAGTTCAATTACGAGTAGGGAGTTCGATCTACATTGAGGGCACCATACTTTCTGTTTTATGCCACTTCAAATCATTGCTAAAAAATCGTTTTTGGGTCCTTCGACGTGGGCTAATGCTTAGGAAACTTATCTCGCTAGTTCAATTACGAGTAGGGAGTTCGATCTACATTGAGGGCACCATACTTTCTGTTTTATGCCACTTCAAATCATTGCTAAAAAATCGTTTTTGGGTTCTTCGACGTGAGCTAATGCTTAGGAAACTTATCTCGCTAGTTCAATTACGAGTAGGGAGTTCGATCTACATTGAGGGCACCATACTTTCTGTTTTATGCCACTTCAAATCATTGCTAAAAAAATCGTTTTGGGTTCTTCGACGTGAGCTAATGCTTAGGAAACTTATCTCGCTAGTTCAATTACGAGTAGGGAGTTCGATCTACATTGAGGGCACCATACTTTATGTTTTATGCCACTTCAAATCATTGCTTCAAAAATCATTTTTGGGTTCTTCGACGTGAGCTAATGCTTACATCCTTTCTAGTAATCGTAAACAATCGGCGCATTGGTTTTGTCATGGCGAATGTTCGAAACAGTATCCGAATTGAAATTAAAACGACCGAATATTATAATAACTGTCTGGTTGTCCGTTATTAGCACAAACAATTTTAGCCTTCCGGAATCTAACATGATCACCTCTGTTTATTTCGATCAAGTGGATGAAATGAACATACATTTAAGCAAATGTGATCGGCTCTAGTTAATCAATTACTTCATGACATTACTGGGTCACATGTTGCCAGACTGGCACTTCAGAACCTCACAGACTTGGAATAAGAGACTTTGCTACATTCACCCACCGTTGGCCTTTCGCTCAATGAACACCACTTTTTCAAGAATCTTGAAAATCTTTTAAGATTTCTTTGCAAAGAAGTAGAAACTGCATTCAAATTTTCTTGTCGTACAATACTTTTGGTTTTATCCTAAATAAATAGAATTGTAACACGATGGCTGAAATGTATACATCTTCAGACTTCTTCTTTTGAATGTTTCAATAACTGTTTAAATACATCAATAACAAATAAAAGTTGATTCAAATATCAGACATTATTTTCCGAAAAAACGTAATAGCGTAAATCAAATCAATGTGAAAAATCTTCAGTCAAATAGAAAACAGACCGATGTCTACATCTTTGACCCACGTACACCGGGTACATATCTTGCCGTTTTCTGTTTTTTTATGCAGAATAAATCAGGTCGATTCAATTTAATTTAATTAGATGGATCTTAATCTAATGTAAAATTCGGTGTTACTATGGTAAAGCATAAGCATTTTTTATGGCAACTGTCTTCTAGTCAGTGGAGAAAGGGTTAAGGAAGAGGAGGTTGAGAGGGGAAAGGAAGGGTAGTGGTAGCTTTAGCAGCCTGCCTTACTTAGGTACTTCTTAATTTTTGGAAATATATAAATGGGTTTACACCATGGGTTGATTGTTATGAGGTTGTCACTAGTACAAATAATACAAATAATATCTTGAGGTTTTTCCTCTCCTTGACATCGGGGCAATGTCTAGAACCTAAGCCAGGTCCTTTTTCAGTACAAATCATACATATGTCTACATGTTCGACTTTACTGTAAATCGGACATATGTTTACATGTATGGCTCATTTACTGACTGATATCTTGACACTAATTCAAAACAGACAGATATTTACCGATCTTTTGTCGGATTGAGATATCTGTGCCATAAGAGTTATAATCGATATCCCATAATAAAAGTGATATGTCTGTAGAATAAATAATATTTTTTTCAATTGTTTCACACCAAGAAAAGCAATAGAGCCAGTAAGATGAAAGTGGTTTGAAGTGTTTAAGAGAATATGAGAAAAATAATTAAGGATATTAACGATTAAAGAGAGAGAAAAAGAAAAGAAGAGAAATTAAGAAGACAGAAAATAGCGACTGGTATTGCATTTAAATTTTTAAAGGTCCGACTTGATTGAGAACCCAGAAACAGGATGAGTGTTCTACAAACCAGAAGTGCGGGAGAAAAAAACTTATATCCGCCAATCATGCAACAAGCTTAAATATATAAAGTCTGGTTAACATAGATGAAAGCTCATGAGAACGATTATCATGAAAATATTTATTGAAAAGTCACAGAGAATCTATGTTACGGCAGTAGGATAGTGACCGAAGGCAAGATGCCAGGTAAGGGTCAATAACATTGCAGATTGTTTTTTGTATTTATCAAGAATCTCTAAATACGTAGAAGAAGCAGCAGGTCTGATTTGATAGTAATTTTCAATGCCTGAACTAATGTTAGACTTATCTATGTATCTATATAAGTTTTAGCTAGGGTCTATTTCCTTGTTATCGAACATTTCCTAGGGTTTGGAGATAAACCCCCATAGCCATATATATTCTGAAACTACTTTAAACAGGGTACTTTGGATTACATTTTGATCAAATGGGGTGTCGGAGGGGGTGGGGGTCACACACCCTCGAATTTTTTTTTCCCTTTGATTAAAATTAAATTTAAATTTGAACAACGGAATGACTCCTAGGGTATTTGGATAAATATATTCCATTTTACTCAAAGATAGTCCTGGAGAACAAATGCTCCAATGAATTTCTTTTTCCCTCTGTCGAAAATTCCTTTTTGTATGTAAGGGTAGCTATAAACGAGTCCGGTACAGTAAGTGTTGCGAAACACTGCCTATCTCGCGACCCAAATCCAAACAAGTATCTGTTAACTCTGGAGAAGAAGAAAGACACTGTTCTCATAATTTGCTCTCATAAAGAAAAAGTGGAAAACGTTTAAAAGGCAGGCCTTAAGTAACAAGGTGGGAGACTTGCGCATTCAACCCCTTCTGGTAAAACGATTATAAATACCAGAGCTCGGAGCGGCCTCGCTTTGCAAACCCAGCATGACAGACGCTGTCCCTACCCACGTCTGACCGCAAACCACATACAGGCTGATAATTTCACTTATTTTCCACATGATTTAAATCAAATTTAAATTTTAACAGTGGAATGACTTCTATCCAGATTATAGAAGGAGAAAAGGTCACATCAGCAAGGTCAAAATGAAACAATATGGATGTTAAGTTGAGCAAGAAATCACCAATCAGTAGTGACATTAAGTTGCGACAATTTCATAATCTACTCATCAATTCATTCGATCAAGTATTGCATCAAATACATATCAAAGCTGTCAGATCAAGCTGTTTTAGCAACCGCGTCACTGAATTTCTTCCATTTGTTTTAAATTTGAACAAGTTAATGATTACTATCCAAATGTAGGAGAAATCCAGAAGATGGTGGTCACATCGGAAAGATCATTGAATAATATTAAAATGCATAATTTTTCTCCACAAATTATAACAATAATTTAAAATCCATCATTATTTTCTTACAAAAAATATGTCACACGCAGCAAGGCGAGAGTAATTAGGCATGTAATTATGTAAGATAGATACTGCTAAGAATGATTTTCTAGCACGATATAGTGAAACAACATCCCTAGCAATAGACCTAGCAATTTCTAAACAAATTTAAATAATTTAAGATATCCATAATATGCGTAAGTGCTAAATGTAATTAGGTTACATCAACTGATTGTCCTATATATGAGGTGTCCTAAAATATTCAGCCCAAAACTCATCATTATTTTGGAAGGCATTCCCCATATAGGACGTGGATTTTTCAGTATTCCTTCGTAAATAAGTTTGTCGCACATTTAATATCCATTTCGGTAAATGAATCATTGCTTCCCGCATCAGCACGAGTAGAACCGGCATCACAAATACGTATTAACGAAGTCCAGGAAAGTTTTTATTAATACTAGACATTCTCCAATACCGCAATAAGTAAGATATAAAGATTTGATCAAATAAATTGTTCAGTTCAAGAACATTATCGAATCAGATAGGCAATTAAAAATGCTGGAGTGTAAACAATTAAGATAATGATAAAAGTTGGACGAAACCCGTGCTGTATATTCTAAAGAATAGCTCCATCGACATCGATGAAGTTAACTCCTTTGACAAATGCGCTTTACAATGGGAGGGAGTTAACTCCCTTGATATTTAGAAATTTCTGTTCGATTATATAAAACAGCGAATATACGCGTCGTTTCGACCTTTTCTGCGCAGAAAGATGAATTATCGAACCGAGTACAAATTTCGATTAATGACGTTGCATTTATTTTCGCACAAATGCTTTTGAAATGTTATGAATCAAACTTTCCACACTGCACAAGTAGCAATGAAGACTGAACACTAATGTTTTACTTGGAAATCACTTTAGGGAAATTGCAACTCAGGCCTGGGGCTATAAAATGCAGCTTGTGAATCATCATTCTTATAGAAAATACAGCAGCAGTTCCAAATGTGGTAAGTATATGGCTCTAGGTACGAAATAATACTAGCAAGATAAAAAATAAAAACAAATACATAAACGTGAATTCAAAACCGTGAAATTATTAACTCTACCCTACTACTCTACTCTAATGTATTTTCTAGAGGAAGTTGCGGATGTGCGAGTGGTTGAATGAATGAGGCTTCGTATAACAAATCAGAGAGAAGAGTTCGAATTCCGGTCGGATTCATTACTTTAATTTACGCACAAATATCCTTGGCAAATGTATGAATTCATCGACTCCGTCTGCTATGGTTTATTGTTGGACGTTTGTCTAGGATAAATTATGGTTATTTTCAAAAAGTAGGAGAAACGGATTGCGGCTCGGATTAAGGAATCAGAGAGTCGAGTTCGAATTCCATCTGAGCTCATTACATTCACTTATCCGTTAAAAACCCTGGGAGAGCTATGAATCCATCTCTCCACCTCTAGATATTGGCAACCATTAGTATTGGGTTTTATAGCAACCTGTCTAGGAGAACGAAAACTCTGAATTTAAACCAGCTTGGAGGGCGTTAGACTCCGTCAGGCTATTTTGACCAAGACACACCACTTGATAATCCAAATGGAACTTCCAGGAGAATATAGATCCAGGGACGGCTCTAATGTCAAAAGACAGAGCAAAATTAGTATTAATTAAAGAATATCTAATACTTAAAATCTCATAAATAATAATTTTTATTTGATGAGAGCTCTAAAAATGCAGGTAGCATGAAATAAAATTTTTATCTATGGGATTTGCTAATAGAGATTCGTTTGTAGGTTTTTAAGTTTGAGAGCTCTTTTTTAAATAAAAAAATAATTAATTATGTGATTTTAAGTGTTTGATATTCTTTAATATATATATATATGTGTGTGTGTGTGTGTGTATTTAGCCAGCAAATTCTCTTTTAGACATGTCTGTCATATAATGTTTTAATGCGTGAGGGGCCATGGCATTACAACATAGAAAAAAAAATTCATTAATGTATCATTTTTTACGTCCTAATGAACGCTCAGCACATTGTCAACCGTTTTGCATTTAAAGCACAATAAAAAAATTACGGTAATGAATATCTTTATATAAATACTTATACTAATGAGCAACATATAGTTTTGTACCACTTGCAACTCTGAAGATGATCTTGGGAGAAGATCGAAAGTACTTAGGAAACGAAAATAAAAGAAATTTAAACAGTTATAGCACATTTCTCTCATCCATTAACACCAATACACGGAGGTTATTCGTGGTTATGAACGGATTTTGTGAATATTTAGCAGACATAATATTTTTAATTTATTCAATATATATATATATATATATATATATATATATATATATATATATATATGAATTTTTTTCTGACAGTTAATCTGTAGAAAAAAACAATATTATAAATGTAAGAGACAATAGGAAAACTGTAATTAGCCGACGCGTTTCGCCCAACGTGAACTTTTCAAGGCAAAAGCGAAATGAATTTATTAAAAGAAACGTAACTAACAAAATAAAATGCCCTTAGCAACTAGAAGAATTTAGAAATGCTATTAGATTCATATTTTCAACTGAAAATTGCGTCAAGTACTGTTACGTGTGGAAATATTGTTTTATTGTTGTGTTGACGCATTCAAGCATTTTCTATTGATTTCTTCATAGAGTTGTGTACGTTTGCTTGGGAGAGTAGCAATTCTGTTTGATAGGGACAAATCCTGGGAATATATATATATATATATATATATATATATATATATATATATATATATATAAAGGTAATGAAAAACTTGGTAATCCGTATGGATAATCCAAAGGAGGATTACATCCTGAGAGCTCAATGTCAAATCAGAGCGAGTAATTTAATTTAAATGAAAAACAGACCATTGTAATAATTTATTTCACCAGAGATTTTATTTTTCTCTGGATCTTCAGACTTCATTTTCAAAGGTGAAACGAAAAATGAATTTAAAATTTTCACTTTTGACGGGTAGTATTAACCTTATATAAGTTGAATTAGAGGGTGATGAGGAATGGTGTGAGAGACATGGTCGAGTTTAGAGAGGGAAGGGAGAGTTTAAAATTTATCTTTATATTTCTTTTTTTAAAATACTTGATATTTAGGGAGGAGGGGGTAAGGATCAGGCATTGACTTCATTTAATCGGTCAACTTAACGGAAATGATATGGGAAAAGAAAAAAAGAAAAACGGAATAAGAAAAAAGTGAAGTAAAGAGATAAGAGATTTACGTGGGTTTTTTGGAGGAAGGACAAGGGTGGTATAACTTTAGTAATTTAGATAAAAACACATTTGAACGTTTGATAGTAATTTAAATGTTTAAAAACTCTACAAAGAAATTAAATTTAATGCTTGTTAGCTATTTAAATATTCAATTTCTCCACAAATAAATTAGGGATTTAATATAAGCCGAATATTATATTAATAAAAAAAAAAATTAATAGTAATATATTAATACTGTGAATGACTGTTAAGGTAAAATCTTTATCAGTTCGAGTCGAATATATGAATTAAATTTGTAGCTATTTTTAGATGGGTAATATTTCTTAATTAAGGTTTAGATTTCAAATCGAGATGGAGTAAGATTTGAACGTAATAGTAAAAAAAAAGTACTGTTTTTTCTTACACACACCACATACATATTTAAGTAAAACCACCTACACATACATTCATATACATGTACAATCACATACATGACCACATGTACATGTATCGATATACATCGGTATATACGCATATACATATACCAATACTTACATATACATTTACATATCTCCATACGCATATATATATATAAACTGCGTCTAGAGATTATATGCAAGTTATGAATTGGTATATAGAGTTGCGTCTTTAATATTAAAAGTCCTATTATGATGTTGCTACTCAATATTATTAACTTAGATATATAGTGATAGAGAAAACTTGTTTTTGGTTGGAAAGAATTTTACTAAGTTAACATAACAGACTAATGTAACTGTCAGTAGTTTATTTGCAACTATTTATTTTGATACTTTTACATTATTATACCTTTTAAAACTAATGTAAAAAATAATATGAAAAGATTTTAAAACAAATTCGTCAACTTCTTAAAGGAAAAACATTAAAAAAAAACATTTTATTTTAAAAGTAAAAGATATATTAAAAAAAAATAATAAGAACCTCCTAAAATTTATTGCACAAATGCTCCTTTCTTTTCAATAATTCTTAGCAGCCTATTTTCAACATCTGATGTTAGATTTGCAATTTTAGCGGCTGGTAAGTTGTTTGCAGGAACTTTAACTGCTCCCAGAGGTCACACTTGCTGTTGAATTGACTTCCATTATAATAAATATCTTTTGAGGATGCTCTAAATTGGATTCAAGTCAAAGATATTTGAAGGCCAGTCCATAAGAGAATCTTCAACAAATCCCTTTTCTTTCAACCAGGATTTAGTAAACTTTGATGTACATGGTGCGTTGTCTTGCATAAAGATCATAGATCTACGCTTGGCTAAAGACTGGTTATCAAGCCATTCAAAGAAATATTGCTCTAGAAAATCACAGTAACATTTGGAATTCATTTTAACCCCGTCTTTCAGTTTAAATGGACCCACGAGCTCATTACCAATAATCCCATCCCATATCATTATCCCACCACCGCCTTGTTGGCGTTTAAAAAATTTCTTGAGTCATGTTGCTTGCAAACACATCCTCGAGCTCATCCATCGGGCCCATCGAGGATGATCCTTGATTCGTCTGTAAAAAGCACTTTACTGAAATCAGTTTTCATGTATTTTTTGGCCCACTGCAATCTTCTTTCCTTAGGTTTTTTTTTGTTAAAATGGGTTTCTTTATTTGATTTTTTTACATCAGCAAACTTCCTTAATGCTTTACACCTTGTTTCTCTTGATACCATAGGAGCTCCAGCGGCCTCAAATATGAACGCACTTGACGCATTTGGGTTTCTTATTAATTCTCTTCGGATATGTGATAGATCTTGCTTTGTTCAATTCCTGAATTCAGCCTAAGACTTTTTCTTCCTTGGTTGAATTCCCATTTGACAGATTTTCTTGATTGTTCGATTGCTATAATTACTGAAAAAATACTAAATATCAATCTGAAATTGAAAATTGGGACTTAATTGCTTTCATGCTTACTCGCTATACATAATAGTACAAATTATTTCATTGGATAACACATCTATGAATTTTACATAAAATATTTGACAATACCTCTTTTGCATATAATCTGTAGACGCAGTTTATATATATATATATATATATATATATATATATATATATATATATATATATATATATGTGTGTGTGTGTGTGTGTGTGTGTGTGTGTATGTAAAATCGTGTGTATGTATATATATATATTTTTTGTATGAATGATTCATGAATTTATAAATTATAATTACACCTTTTAATTGAAATTAAAATAACTTGAAACTTTCGGATAATAAATGTGACATTACTGTAATTATTGAACAATATAGTTCTTGCCACATTGACGGAAAATCTACCAGTAAAAAAAGAATTCTCTTATGGCTATATTTGTACAAAAACGCACAACCTTAAAATTTAAATTCAAACTCAGCGTTGCGACCGCGCGTTCCAAAACAAGAACACATTTCTCATAGCATTTTTTCGGATTACATCTCTATTTTCGTTGTCCTCTTATTACCGAGAAGTAAAAACAAGAACA